CCATCGATGGTCCCATCCCTTAGTGAGGGATCGGAAGTGACGGACGTTAGGGAACCGATAGAAGTGGACGAACAGGAAGTGAAGGCCGAACTCAAAATGATTGGATCCGTTGAGTCCACTGTTTATATGGATTACATTAAGGCCGGCGCCGGACCTCTGCTCATAACACTTACCATTTTGTTTATAATAGCTACGCAAGTTATGCAACAAGGTAGTGTTTATTGGTTGAGTTTATGGTCAGTTATATAAACCTTAACAGTAAATATACTTTTAATTAAATTTACCAATAATAATCTATTAGGACTAATCAAATGAGCAAAGACCCGGATAATGTTGATCAAACCTTCAATATAATAGTGTACACGAATCTAATCATTGGTCTGTTTGTGTCGGCCCTGTTGTCCACCATTTGTTTCTACATAATGTGTATGAGATCTTCGGTTAATCTCTATAACCGAATATTCTATGCATTATTGCGATCACCGATACATCTGTTTGAAAGTTCGCCCATCGGTAACACTATTGACACATTTGCTATCAATTTAATCATAATATTACAATATGTATATATAAATATACCAATAATAATAGTTTATAATAATTTTTAGGACGAATACTAAACAGATTTTCAAAAGACACGGGAATTGTCGACGAATTGTTGCCATCGAGAGCCTTTGAATTTATTATTGTAAATTACAAAAAAATAACTTGTTTAATTAAGAAATAGTTCTAACTGTTTTAAATACCAATAGAATTTTTGTGTTAATATCGGAGATCTTATATTGAATGCAATCGTCACTTGGTTTTTAATTTTTCCGGCAATACTTTTGTTAATATTAGTGTTTATTTGTCGCTATTTTTACATTAAAGCCGCGAGAGATATAAAGCGTATGGAAGGGTTGTGTAAGTTTTACATCAATTAATTTTATAAATTATTAAATAAAATTATCCCTCACTTAACGCATAGCCCGGAGTCCGGTGTACTCTCACGTGAACACAACGCTGTGTGGGCTGACATCGATCCGTGCGTTTGGCGCACAGCATATGTTTGAGCGTCAGTTTGAAGTCCACCAAAACGACAACACCTCTACGACCTTCCTATCCATTTGCACCGCTCGAGCACTCGGAGTCTTAGTGGACATCATTTGTACATTATATATGAGTGCTGTTATCGCCTATATTATGACCAGTAGTGACAGTATGTTACAATCTATTTAAATATAAATCAGATGTAATTTAATATTTATTGTTGAAAAGGCATTCCCGGAGGAAATGCTGGACTTTTGTTGACATCAGGTATTCATTTAATATAAAACTGAATATTTGTATTTTATTACTAATGTGTATTTATATAATTAATTTTAATGTAAGCTATATCATTGACCAATATGATTCAACACGTTACTAAATTATGGACCGGTATCGAATACTATATGATTTCTGTCGAGCGAGTGCTCGAATACACAGCCATTAAACCCGAAGCAGAGCTCGAGTCCACTCCCGATCGGAAACCACCCAAAGATTGGCCACAAATGGGAGAAATAGTGTTCAAAGATATGAGTCTTCAATACAACGAATCGCCGCATAAAGTGCTCAAAGATATCAATGTTTGCCTCAAAGGGGGAGAAAAGGTGGGAGTCGTGGGCCGGACGGGCGCCGGCAAGTCGTCCATCATTGCAGCCCTCTTTCGACTCACAGAACCTTTAGGA